GAGTATGGAATGCCAGCAGCTTCACCATGGATGAGGAAGGATATCAACTTACTCGAACAGGTGCAACGCAGAGCGACAAAGATGGTCGACGGTCTAAAGCATTTATCTTATCAGGAGAGGCTAAATTTGCTTGGCCTATTTTCTCTCTCTTATAGACAAATAAACTGCAGTCTACTCTGGACGTTCCGGATTGTTCGCGGCCAGGGTTGCTCATTAAAGGCAGAGGACTTCTTTGAGTTCGCCCGTACAAACCAACTACGCGGCCATGCATTCAAAGTCGGGAATGAGCGAACACGTTTAGACCGACGAAAATTTTCTTTCAGCCAGCGGGTTGTCAGGCCGTGGAACTCGCTTCCAAGCCAGATGGTGACGGCTGACACAGTTTGTGTGTTTAAAAGAAAACTTGCTCGTCTAGTTTTCGACAGAAATCGGCTTGTACAGCATGACTATGCTCAGCCAGTTTTGTAAAATCTGTCATATTCAATCTTCCGCACCAATTTACAGTGACCCCATGCACTACCTTATGATTACGATTGAACTGTGACCCAATCACATTTTAAATGCCTGCAATTTTATTTTATTTTTGAGTATGAATCTGCGAAAGCACTGTACATAAATAGGGTCATCAAGGGCTCTGCCTATAACCCTTCAATATACATACATACATACATACATACGACTCAGATTCTGAACTACCAAAGTAACCACCCAATGGCGCATAAACGCAGCTGTGTAAGGACACTCTTCTAAAGGGTAAAAACTGGCAAGGAATGGATACCCGAACAGCTTCGTCAGCCACTGCCTCCGCACGCACCCACGGCGAACAAAAGGAGGAGAGCCGCCAACACTCTGGCACTCTCTACCATATATAAAGAACATGTCCGAAGCGATGGAACGTATCGCTGGAGAGCTCGGCGTGGGTATCGCTCATCGTCCGACAGCGACCATGCGCAACAACATCATGTAAATGAAGGATCGCCTAGACGCGGGAGAACAATCGGGTGTCGTCTATCAGATCCCATGTCTGGACTGCCCTCGCCACTACACAGGACAAACCGGACGACGACTTAGCTCACGAATAACGGAGCACAAACGGGCGGTTAGGAGAGGTGGTCCGTTGTCTCAGGTCGCCACTCACACCCTGGAGGAAGGCCACGAATTCAACTTCGCGGGCACGCGGATAGTGGCGCAGGCCAACAATAAGACAGGACGAGACCTGTTAGAGGCCTGGGTGTCTGACACCAACTCTATCAACAGGCACGTTGACATACCCCTCCTGCTATCACGCGCTCCGTTCCCGCGGCCAAGAGGTGAGATCCAATTTTTAGCCAAGGGTACACGCAGTCACGCCACCGTGAGACGGAGTGGGACTAAACTTATCGCGAATACCACCCTCTGCACTCATATCAATCCCCCCTTCGTGGCTTGACTACAAAAACCGCTCATTTGATGTCGCATGCTCACAGTCTCTGACGATGGCCTCCTGTACGAGACCGAAAGCTCAGACAAATAAAACTATTGTCCCAGAGATCGAGTTTTCATCTTCTTAACAACAAGAACCTGGGATCCGCATATTGGCTTCCATACGTGAGTTCGGACGTCAATCCAACGGACATTGCTTCTCGAGGTACGTGCAACTTTGTGCTGGTACGTAGATAGTTGGTCGGTCCGGAATTTTTAGTTCAGCTTGAACGCGAATGGCTTGTACAGCCTCCATTAGGACAGCCTGAAGACTTGGAATTCAAGAGGACAACAGCCCAAATTCATGTATTAAATCAATGTGATGGTTTAGGCGAAGTAGTTATGCGTTTTCAGTTTGGACGAAACTAGAAAGGGCTTTGGTCTGGATTCTGCGTTTCAAGCCGTACGTCAGAGTCAACCCTGGCAAGGCACCTCAGGAGACGCTGATGTTGGGTCCTATCCGAGTATCTGAAATGCGCCAAGCTAGCATTAACTTGATAAAGCTTATTCAAAGGAAGCACTTTTCAGCAGAATTGGATATTCTGCAGTTTACACAAGCAGATTACCAGAAAAGAGAGTCCGTGAGAAATATTGGCCTGAGAAAGTTATGTCCAGTTTTGATTGAAGGAGTAATGTGCGCTTGTGGTCGCCTGAACTACTCAAATTTTTGTGAATCGTTGAAACCCCCGTCAATCCTCCCATACAATCATCCCGTGACGGAATTATTCACACATTACTTTCATGAATTGGAAGGCCATTATGGGACAGTACACGTTCTAGGTGCAATCCGTCAAAAATTTTGGATCCTAAAAGGAACCGCTTCTGTCAAACGTGTCATCGGTAGATGTTTATTTTGCAGGAGTAAATTTCGACAACTTCAGGGGCAGATTATGTCCCCTCTTCCCTTAAATAGAAAGGAAGTCGGTTGGTATCCTTTCAAGTGCGTTGGGGTGGACTATTTTGGTCCGTTGATGGTCAACCTGGACGACCTTCGGAGAAACGCTATGGTAGTGTTTAGCTGCTAACAGACGAGAGCCGTTCATCTTGAGATAGCCGCCAGCCTGATCATGAATTCTTTTGTCCACTGTCTGATGAGATTCGTGAGTGGACGCGCACGTCCTACTTACATCTACAGTGACAATGGAACCAATTTTGTTGGAGCGGTAGCGGAACTCCGAAAGGACTTACATAATTGAGACCAGAAGAGAGTGTCTGACCAAATGCTAACTCTATAGATACAGTGGCATTTTAACCCACCCACGCCAGCCATCGGGGAGGCACCTGGAAACGCATGATCAGGTCTCTACGACGGATTCTTCTTGCTCTCTGTAAGGAGAATCCTCTAACTGACGAACAGCTTGGCACATCCTTCGTGCGGGCTGAACGTATATTAAATAATAGACTTCTTGTCCTGCTTACATCAGACAGCAACGACTTGGAACCGCTTACCCCGAATAGGTTATTGTTGATGAGGGACTGTCCAGTGCTGCCTTGCGTTGACGAATTGATGGCACGATACCACGTTGGATGGAAACAAGTACACTACCCCGCTGGCGTGTTCTGGAGACGATGGGTAAAAGAATATCTCCAGAGTCTGCAGAAACGAACAAAATGGGCAAGAGAAGCCGCGGAACTGAAACAGGGTGATGTTTTTTAGTTTCTGGGGAGCGCATACCTCGTGAGAATTGGCCTTTGGAGGTAATAGATACGTGCGAAAGAAGTCACGACGACCTCGTTAGGACGGTACATATTAGAACGGTGGGCGGTCTCTTAAAAGGGACGTTAGAAAGATTTGCCTAATTGAGCGTCAGAGCAGCCGCATACCTCCAAACACGTCGGTTGTTCTCAAGAACCGGACGTGGAGAATTGACGGACGGTGTTGCATCCAGCTGGTCAACGTTTGGAATTATCCACGCCCTCCTCCCAAGTGCTTCCACATTTGGCCCCTGTCGACATTCCCTTTCCCCCCTTTTGTAACTCTCTTTCGAGCGTGATCGGCGTTCTTTTAATTAACTGGTTTTGTATTCTGACCATGAGCTGGGAATTCGACTTGCTCGAAAAGTAACAAAGGAATTCTTTTTTCAAGGGTACCAATCGTTGAGGTTTGTACGTTTTTTATTATTAGCTTATTCTATCATTAGTACCGTATATACACCGAAATTTGTTTTGGCTTATACGCGTAACTCAGTCGACAAGGAATTCTACAGAGACGGTCGCAGTTTTTTGCGAAACACTATCAAAATCCCATTTCAAACTGAAGCGTGTGACGTCGACGTCACCGTCCTTTTCAAATGTGTGAGCCAGCCTCAAAATCGAAGACAATAAATTAGGGAAGTGTTACGGATCAGGGATTTGATAGGGCCGTTTGAATGAGATAGGCACTCTTGAGCGCGGATCCAGAATGGAGATAGTGTAACTGCGTGTCGTTGAAAACAACCGGTCCTCTATCCTCACATTCCCGCTGTCCCCTTCCCGCAACTACCGCTGATATCGTAACGTCTGTCCCGCTCCAGGACGGTTCCACGGCCCTACCCTTCAGCTGCCGACAGTGCTGCATTCCCCACCGGTTTTCTAGCCGGCATGTTAGCACCACTTCTGCTTCCAGTGGGTCACCTCTCCGGTCGAAAGTCCCATCTTGCTTTGTTTTGCTTATAGTCTTCTTATGTACCAGGGCTTCCCGTTTCTAAGGTATAAATATATCATATTGCTTGAATTTTCTTATTCCTTGTTTGGGTGAGGGTGATGATGTGTTTAACAACTCTTTTCAGCCTAATGTTAATCATAAATTATTACTCGTGTTTCTCGTTACCCCGTGTGTGCTGTACTCAGCACATCCGACCGTTGCAACAGCACTACCGCTTCTGTGCGAAACTGTCTAGGGGTGCTGAGAGAAACTTTGTCGCCTCCAGAATTTTAAATATCCATTTCTCAAAATGGACATCTCCTGCTTTAAAACGGATAGAAACAACGGTAGGTTGTGTAAACCCTAGTCAGTTTAATACGGCGCTAACAGCGGTTTTACGATCGGGACACCTCATCGGAGGAGGAATGAATCGGCTGAAAGGAAAACCAAAGAGATTTCCATTAAATTCTTTTTCTGTACCTACATATAACAAAGGTGTTTAGCGTTATCCCCGAATAACAAGCAAAAAACAGTTTTCAATAAGGAAGAGGTAATTCATCAAGCCGCCATTTGCAAATTTGAAACGAGTCAGGACACAGTAGAACGAACAACAGGAATTGCCAAATAGTGCGATTGTGAAAATCTACTGCGAGGTAACATGATGCACATAATTGTTGGAGGAGTTGTAGAAATACACCCTTTTGAACACGGAACTTCTCGGATGACACAAGTGAGACCGCATGTTTGTATCTGCATAATAAGGCAGGTTAGTACTACAATATAGAAATTTGGGAAGATTAAAAATGTTTACGTAAAGGTCATGTACAATAGTGAAATGTATTAATGAACAGACGAAGTAATGAGGCTATTTTTTCTCTATCCAACATAGAGACTATCGTCTCCAGGTTGCAGAATAGTTAAACAATCGCAGCTTCACTTTCTGACGAAAGCAGAAGAAATAAACGAATCTGTAAGCCCGGAAACAAAAGAATACTGATAAACAAGAGGACTTCTCCTTTAGATGTCAAAATGCCAATGTCTATGCCAAGTGCGTCAACATTCAGAGGGAGAGGAATGCGCTTTATTTTGAAATCATATGTTCAAAATGTTCAGCAAAAAGTTGGCTCCATTCACTATGGGCAGTAAATAAGTTAATAGAGTATTCAAGAGTCAAAGTTTAACACAAAGATACGATTATTATGGGGATAGTTCAAGTCTTATCTTCTGTATTTCTGTCTCTTCGCACGTAAGATAGCGCGCTAGGAATGGCAATACAGAAGCTCAGTAAGCCGATGTGCGACAAGATATAAAACGGAAGTTGCGGCGCATCGGGCGGGAAGACTTGGCAGACATAAGATAGGAATGTAGGGGATGGGCAACGTCATCTAGAATTCGACCAGCAAATTGCTTGACCGCATTGAAGTGTAATTGTAAGACAGTGTCAACTAAAAAAATATAAGAAATGCCAGCAGCAGAAGAGAGCATGCGGAGGATTCGTTTCAAAATTAAAAGATCCTTTTTTAACAAAGCAGGAAAAATGACAGAGAACAGTATAGGATAAGAGGAAGAATGCAGGCATCAATGAATCTCCAGACTAAGGGGTGAGTTGTGTGGTAGGAACGTAAACGACGTATGTAGTAAAGAAGTTTACGAACTTTAATAAATAGGGACTAAATATGGAGGGAAAATGAAAGATTTGAGGACAAAGTAACGCCGAGATACCTGAAAGAGGATACTTCGTTAGGAAGAATGTCAGAGGAATTAGGGTTAGGAGAGGGCCGCAGTCGAAAAATACACTGAACGGATTTTTGGTTGTTAATTAGGAGACCATTTTCCTCCGACCACGCTAGGACATGGCTTAGACCATCCTTTAGAGACCGGAGGTGTGTCTGACTTTTGAGAGGGTGTCCAACAACCACATCGTCAGCATACTTGACCAGAAGACAGTCATTAGGGGACCTGAGATCATCAGTGTGGAGGGAGAAAAGGTGAGGGGATAGAATGAAACCTTGAAGAACACTGCAGTCATTGGGAAGGGTCGAAGATTTCCGCTTGCCAGATTGGACAAATTGGGTGTGGAAGATAAAATAATCGCTCAGTCAAGAGACGACCCAGCCTGGAGAGCCACATGCAGAGGTTTTGGAAAGGAGAAGAGGGCACGGGACGGCATTGAAGGCGGAGGAGTAATCAAGAAAAGCGCACGCATACTCGCGGCAACCCTTGTCTAATGCTTTTAGAGCAGAGTGGACCACAAGAGCGACAGAATCTAAAGTACTCCGTTTAGCTTTGTATGCAAATTGTAAGGGGTCGGAAAAACTGGAAGAAAAAGGCTTTATGATATCTAGGGCAACTCTCTCAGCAAGCTTTAGTATTGCAGAGGAGCAGGCAATTGGGCGAAAAGCTTAAGGACCAAAGTTAGCAGGCTTTTTAGGGATGGGAGTGATTCTCACTGTACGCCAGGCGTCGGGAATCTTGGACTCCATGAAAGACATATTGATTAGGTGCGTTAAAATAGGGGCTATCTGAGAACTGCAAGATTTAAGAAGAAAAGGCGAGACACCATCCGGTCCGGCAGCTGTTGATCCACGGACCTTTTTAAGGTGTTTCTCTACTGTTGCCAAAGACACGGGTTGGAATTTTCTCCGTGATAGGGGAATGTCTTCTAAGGGAAGATGGGAGTCAGTGTGACTAAATATAAAATATTTATTTAGGGAGTCTAAATCAGCATCCACATGCACCAGCGTGTTGCGATGGCCAGTGAGACGCTTAAGACTTTTCCAAATATCAGATGTGGAAGGGGGAAAAGGAGGAAAAAAGTTGGCTGACCAACAGGCTATTTAGCCTGTCAATCTCTGTTTTTATTAATACGGTAACGTCCTTAAGGTTATCACGTAAGCCTAGCTTGTAAAGGAGTTCTTTTTTACGTCTTGACGATTTCAGATAGGGGGAAGAAATTCTGTCCGGTCGTACCATAACAGTATCAAAAGGGCAGCAAATATCGAAAATTTCATTTAAAAACGCTGTCAGGTTGGAAGAACAGGATTCAACATTAGAATGTTTAAGGAAAGTGGGGATAGTAAGAGAAATGCAAGTCTGAAGCATGATAATGTTTTGGGCGGACCTGTTGCGAACCTTAACCTTTCTCTCAGGCTTGGCAAGCAGTGCACGTTTTGAAGTGGAATAGATTTTGGAAAACACAATAAAGTGGAATGGTCAGAACCTGACAATGGAGCCCTGTTTTTTACGCAAAAAAGCTTGCTGTGGTTAACCAGAATATGATCAAGAGGGGCATCTGAGCGAGTATTAAAGGAGACAAGATCATCGAAGCCTAAAAGTGTAAGGGGACGTAAATTCACGAGATTAAAATCACCGCATAAGAGAGTAAGATAGTCGCAGGATAATATAGCAAGTTTTTGTGAGAGAAAGTTGAAAAAACGGGTTAATGCGCCTTCACAGGAAGAGGGGGGAATGTAAATACTAACAAATATGATGCCTTTAAAATTACTTAACAAACGGGGCTTACATAAAACAGCAATTACATCTACCAAATCATCAGAGTAAGAAAAAAGGGACTTACAGTCTCTACACCAACTCTGATTACCGAAAATGGTAACGCCTCCACCTCTGCCACAAGATAAAGATTTTCTATTCGTTCGAAAGCAGTAGAAGGATGGGGGAGTAATAAGTTGCAAATCAATGTCACTATTTAGCCACGTCTCTTGAAGGCAGACAACTTCAGTTTTGCTGTGTTCTTTTTTCGACAAAAGTAGCTCCAAATCATGGGCTTTGTTGAAAATAGAACGACAGTTTGTCCACAAGAAGGCAGGAATTGACAATTTGTGATTTGGCTGACGTTTGAATGCGAGTTGCCAGCCACAACTGTGTTTTCTCCGATGCATAGGCCGTTGTTGACGAATATTTGATAAATTCAATACAGAACGATCGCAAATAGGACATATTGGCCGTAAAGTACAACAGTTTGCATCATGGTCGTTCGTAAGTGAAATTGACAATTTAATTCCGTTCAAAAGGGTGCTAGCGTACTGTAGAGACGACCTCATAATCTTAGCTCAGACAAACAAAGGATGCAAAACAGTTCAATATGTCGAAGAGAAAAAGGCACAGTAATGTACAATTAGTAAAAATCCACACGTGAATGGAGAGCTACAAAAATGGCGGCTCAAATTCAAAAGCCCGCACAACACTTTACAATCAATTGTACTCAGCATTTCGAGCAAAGGACCCCAGAAAAATACCAGGGTGATTAGGGCCTATTAAAGCAGACTGAAACGATATCTCCTCGAAAGAGAACCTTTGTCGGACAATGCAATATGGGTCCGCTAAACGAAGTTCAAAAGTTCCTGTGGTTTGGCTTAGCCCGCGTAGGAAATATTTTTTTTGTATATTGCTGAGAAACATCCGGCGTCACAGTCTCCCGAGTGTGGAAACCGAAGGACTCCTTCCATAAAGCAAGTAAACAACCGTTTATAAGTGCATTTTTGCACATTAAGTGAAATAAACTTAACTGTCTTAGTTATGCGAGGGACCGCACACAAATATTCTTAGAGAAGTAAATAAGTCACGACGTACGCGCACTACAACAGAAACCGTTTGGAGATGTCGAGGAAGCCAAGTGTTTGTGTTCTAAACCAAGCGAAGTAAACTAATATGGGAAAAACGACCCCTACAGCACGCGTTGTATGGTGCGTGCTGGCATGGCACAAAATGCTCAATCACTACTTTGGAAGCAATAAGTAGGCAGCGGCGCACGGAACCGGCAACGAAATGCGACGCAAATACATTGGGAAAAGTGGGAAATCAAGGTAAGACAAATCGGCCATGGCGAGAGATGAGCATAACCAGAGCGCATCTCGTGCCAAATAAATTATCACTAAAAACGTCATGCGGAAACAACAAGGGGCATGGGGTTGCATCAGTGCGTTAGATAACATCCAAGGGGAGACTTCGAGTAGATGTGAATCAAGTAGCAAACTGAGTCCCACTAAACAAATTTAGTAATTGATTGTACATATTAGACCCGATGAAATTTCACAACCTATTCTTGCCTCGCCGTTTTGTCATCCCTGAAGCCCTGCTCTTAATGCAGCAAAACGGGTTGAGCAATCGGGAATTTACCCTACACTTCGATGACCTCCTCACACTGTCCACAACATCTTCCTCAGACTTTCAGAAAATTTATTACACCTTAAATGTTCATTGTACTCGTTCATCAGCGAGTGGCCGATGCCTGGAATGGACTTCTAGAGTAAGTAATAATGGCAGACTCAGAAGAGACATTTGCACATAAAATTTCTGCATATTTGCTTGAAAAAAACTGGAAAAGACAACTCGGTCACGCAAAACCGACGTTATGCACATACCTACCATTAACGAAAGTGACTATTACTTCATATTTTACGTCGTCGTTAACACCTGAAGGTAGCCGGGTTTCAGTACTACACCCTAATAAATATTTTCTGTAAAATGCACATGTTGCTGACAATTTAACAATAACGTGTTTGTTTTCACCTCAGTATTAAATGGAACGTATCCTGGGAGCGGTCGGGAGATTAGCTTTTTAGTGGTGTTTGGAATAGTTATCCGTCAGGTGTTAGAATATTGCGTTCAGGTGTGGTTCACATAGACAAGGCAAGATTACACTGTTGTAAAGAAAGTTTAATCAAGGGCGACCGAACTAGTTAGCAGACTGAAGTCATTCTCCTATGAGAGACGACTAGAAAGTTTCAAGTTTCTCCTTTGTCATAATCTTTCTCCAGTGAAACGAAGACTTGGGTCCCTCTTCTTAACTAAACCCCCATCTTCTCAGCCAAACACTCAACAATCCGGTCGTAATGCAATTAATCTTGAGGAGCCATTTGATCCTATTTATGTGAAATCGGACTCACTTCTGCCTCTTTATTCTACATCTCCATCTCAGTCAAACCACTTGGCGTCCCCATCTGTCTTCGGATTAGCAGTAGTCCCAGCCGACGTTTCTAACTCCTCTGTTAGACTTTCTAGAGCGTCTACGAATCCATCTACACAAGCTGGATAAATAGCTTCGCCATTTCAACGAGGTTCTCCGAGTTTTCCACTTAAGTTGTCTTGGATATGTCGTCAGAACGAGTGGTTCAAAAACTAAATCCAAATCTAATCCAAAATAAAGATAGCGTTACTCCATTTAATGACAGTCCGTTTTTTATTCAGTTCACTGAGGACTTGTATATAAACCCCTTAGGTCCAATTATGCCTCCAAAGAATTATTTATTCCTCATACCGGTAACCAACCAACTCCATATTATTTATCCTGCTAACAGCCCTTATGTGGATCACCCTAAGTCACTTATACTTCAGCCTGATTCAGGTCCTCACCGCTTAGGGCCAATGGTTCTCGCGTAATTCACCCTAACTCCTTTGACCTCTATCCCAGGCCTGGCTTCCCACCACCTAATTCTAATAACCGCTTGCCCTTCTGCCATTCGCATCCATCTTCCTTCTAGCCTCTACAGTTTCCAAGTTAACTACCAATAAACCTATCGCTGTTCAAGCTTTCAAAGTAGTCCAATATTTAAAACAATATATACCTAGAGCTCTTGAATCTCACTCTCAGCATTTTCTTGAGGACTCTCCATATGCCAATAGCTCTGGACCCAATAAACTTTTTACGCAAAAAGCAGTGATTTACAGACTAGCTATTCATCTATAAATTTCCCCAAATGACTCTCGTAATAGTCACGCTACTCAAAACACGTTAAGTATTATACCACTAAATGCCAGGCCTGGTTTCTGGTTCGTCCAGTCTGGATTTTAGCCTCTATAGGATATTGTCAACTCTTCTAGCTGTTCTCAGTTCGTCAGGTTGCCAACAAGAGATAATAGTATTCTAGATCCTATCTTTACCAATTACGTTGCTCTCCTTTCCGTGGCCTACAAAAATGGCCTTTTTGACAGTGGCCGTGTACTAATTCACTGTTAGCTTCCATCTACCCTTTCAAAAGGACCAAGACAACCCGAGTCCATCTAGATTGTGATTTCGGAGACAACGACTCAACAAAGAACTATATTGGATCACTGATACAACACAGTTGTCTCTTCTGCTGTGATGCGACAGTTTTATGCGACGTCACATCCGGTGTTCCCAAAGACATCTTAGAATTACCGCCCCGTAGATATCTCAAGCATAATTTTTATGATTGCACTGTTCTTTCCTTTTTTAACGGACTCAATAGTTGAGGAGGCTGCTGCATGACTTGTTCAAAAGTTTTTATCCGTCTGTCAAAGAACTATAAAAATGTTTGAAATGGTCTCAAGGATGCGCCAAGCGCGCAAGAGGCTCCCAGTGATCTAAATCCTGCCGAATCTGTTGTTACAGTCTTCTGTCATCAGTCTCACTTTAAGCCTGGTCAAAAATTCTCCTTTGCTAAACGACAACGAAATCTCCCTCATCGGTGACACTGGCAAGGCAGAATTGTTTGGTGAACTCTTTGCAAAATATCCTACAACTGACTCCGAACCATTTCTTCTCTTTCTCCCGCTTTGATTTGGATCACTCAACACAATCGATGCCACTTCAGACCCAAGTCAGAAACACATAAGTCGTTTAAGACACCCTTACTCCTGGGAAGCAGACGATATTTCAAACTCGATCATTGGTAAGGCGTCAAACCTTCCTGGGTTGCTTAGCCATTAACTAACATAACTCAGCTTATATTCCAACTTATATTTCGGGCAAAATCTTATGGAAAAATGGGAGACCTCATTACTTTTCCAGTTTACAAGTCTGAATCTTGATCTGATGTTAATAACTATCGGGACGCTCACAAAACTCCGTCTCTAGCAAAACTCCCTAAAAAGATAATTTTTAATGGGATTCTTGATTTCTGTCTATCTAATCAGCTTCTGAACTCTGCTTAGTATGAATTTTTACCTGCAAGATTCTGTGGAACTTGTCATTAACCTTTTTAAACTCACCAATTCTCTTCATACTAAATAGTTGTGGTTATCTACTGTTATCCTAGAAAGGCTTCCCGTAAGTTTCCGTTCAGATATTTTTTTAATTGAAACTGGAAACCTTCAGATTCCGGCCACACATACTCGACTTCATCAGGTCCTGCTTACCCAGCCGACTTCAGAAAGTCATGGTGACAGCTACTCGATGCCTCACACGATCGCAAGTAACCGACGTCAGGGCATGGTCCAGGGTCTGCAACTCCTCCCTTACATAAAAGATATTTAGACAGAAATCAGAAATTCCCAAATGTCCATTTATTCTGACGACCTTGAATGTGTTCATTCAGACTCTAAGGATGGGGTTATTGTTTACGGTGAAAAAAAGTTGACTTCGATCAACTACACTTGCACAAGGCAGATGGGGTCTTCTAAGTTCAGATGTGGTTTCGTGTTTTTTGGTCCTGCCAAGCTCCCTAGTCCCACAGATTTTAAAAATAACCCATTCTTAGAATGCTTCGTAATAAGGCACCTAGGGTTGAAAATAGACTTAAAAATAGGCTTAACATATGACCTTATGCAGATCGAACCTCTACAAAAACTGCGCAGATACACGGGTCGTATCACATATTTTTTCAAATTTGAGGATAAGTATGAGGTATTATTTAAAGGGACTTTTCAAAGAGACAAACAAACATTTACCATCCGTTTTTACGAACAAAGTTCTTTAAATACAGGGATATTCATTCAGAATTATCAGTTTCCACTTCCCTTCTGAGTTTTGCTACACTGTGCCTGTTAACTAATAGCCGCACTTGCAATTAACATTTTGTGCATTCGAACTAACTCTAGCCGGGCACATTTTCTTTGCACCATTAACATCTCCCTGGAACTCGGCCATCAGCACTCCCAGAAGTTTTAATTAATCGTAACCTACCTGGAGATAAGATGAGAGTAAACGCCACGGGTCGGCGAAAGCTTTCGGCTTCTGTACCTAGGTATAGCTCAATTTAATCCAGGCCAGAAAGCATTAATGACCATTCCACACATGTTGTTTTTGATAGATAGCTTAATCTGCCTGCGCTTTACAATTGCAACTGTTTTATACTGAAGTTGGCACTATGCTCTCAATCCTGGGAAAAATGTTTAACGGAAATAATTGCGATGATTCCTGTCAAGAATGCAGACGTCTGACTAACTCGTTCATCTGGTTGCGAGTGATGCAAGTAATAGGCAAAAAAGAGCTTATAGCTTTTTCTTTAAAAAATGTTCCTTGATCTGCTTGGCCAGTTGATGTTGCGGTTGATTTCCTGTGCTCGTGTGGGTTTAACTATAAAATAACGGATGTCAAGCGCCTATCTCCCGGTAGCGAAAATTTGCCCGATTTCGTTAAGCTTTTTTTCACCAATTGGGGTTGATTCAATCTTTGCCCACCAAGATTGTGTTTCTGCATATCTGGAAAATGCTCTGAGCCCCATGGAGCGTAGCATTTGGTTCCTTTTCCCATATAAACCTTCGTCTTTTAAGTGGATTGCTCACCGATTCGGTCACATTGCAAGTGACCGTGAGAATTCAGTTAATCGTACGCCTGCGTAATCTGACTCACTGTTCCGCCTTAGTCCTACACCTCCCTCCCATTCAAGCCACCTAACGCTTTTATCTGCCTCCTAATTAACAATAGTCCAGTTATCGTCCCTAATTATCCTGATAGTCCTCCTACAACGCACGAAAATCCGTCTACATCAGCTGGACCGACAGCTTCCCCACATCAGCAGGGTCCTCCGGGTTCTCCACTAAAGTCACCTGTTGCATGGTGTCAGGATGATGTGATCCAAAATCTGAATCCGAATCTGGTCCAAAAGAAAGGTAGCATAACTCCATTCAGCGGTATGAAACCTTCTCCTAGATTAACTAAGTCTTTACAGCCGAGCCCGTCCATAAACTCCGCAGCTCCGATTATACCCCGAAATAATTTTCTGTCCCGCATACCGGCCACTTACCAAAGCCCTACTATATATCATGTAAGTAGACCTTACGTAAATCGCCCTTACTCGTTTACCAACCAACTTAGTCCAGGCTTCCCACCGCATAAGGCCAACTTTTCTCATGTACATCAAAATACTTCCTTTGACTTTCATCGTAGACCTTGTTTCCGACCTTTTAATTCTATTGGCTGCTTGTCCTCCTTCGCTAATCTCTACTTTCCTTCAAAGCTCCCCCCTCCTCCTCCTCCCCCTCCTCTTCCTCCTCCTCCTTCTTCTCCCCAAGTTAACTGCCAACGAGCCTATCCCCGTTCTCACTCTCTTAGTATTTCAAAGTCTGAAAACTATATTTCCAAGTCTTTTAAATCTCCCGCTTATCCGTTTCTTGCTGACTTCCCATATGCCAATAACTCTGGGCTCACTGGCACTTATTCCACAAATAACAATAGTTCACAGTCTACCCATCAACCTCCAAACTTTCTTCCAAAATACTGTCGAAAATAGTCATGCTGATAAAAATACATTGACTATTAAATTATTAGTGCCAGCTCTGTTATAAACAAGATGACCCCAATCAGAGCTATTGCTCTCAAAAAGACGCCAGATATTACGTGTAAAACAGAATCCTGGACCCATTCTTTAATTCCTGACTTCAGCTTCTGCCATCAATACCGCTTAATCAGGCGTGGGGCAATTGCCTTCTTTATCTTGGATCCTACCTAAAGCACTTTCCCTATTACGTGGATGCCAGCAAAAGATAACCACATTTTAGATCTAATCTTTACCAATGACAATGGCCCCCTTTTTCTTGCTTTCAAAAAGGACCCTTTTGATGGTGGCCACGTATTTATTCATTGTTGCCCACTGCTTGCCTTTCCAAGGAAGACTAGCACGGTTCGGACCTACGTAAACGACGACTGCGTGGACAACGCCTTAATAAATAGCTATATTGGATCACTAGATTGGTGTGGGTTGCTCTCCTGTAATGATGTAGCCGTTCTTTGTGACGTCATGTCCAATGTTTCCAAAACGATCTTAGAATTTGTGTTTCGTAGATATTTCAAGTCAATCTCTACGGATTCCCCTGTTCCTCACTTTCTTTGCGACAGACTAGAAGTTGAGATAGCAGCTGCGTGTTTTTTCCATTAGTTATTTGTACGTTCATCTTAGAATCACAGGAATTTTCGAAATTGCCTCGAGGATGCGTCAAGCGCGCAAGAGGCAAGGAGAATCACTTGCTCTCAGTGATCCGAACTCTGGCAAATCCGTGGCTAGATTCTTCCGTCACCGGGCCTCCTCTAAACGTGGTCACGAAATTCCAGCGCTGCTAAACGATAACAAAATCATCCTCATCGGTGACACTGACCAGACGGAGTTGTTTAGTGTTCTCTTTGCAAAGCACCTTATTGCTTAGTCCGAATTAGTCCTTTCTTTCATTCACTTTCAGATAGAACAGTAAGTAAAATCGATAATTGCGAAACACATAAGTGCTTGAAAAACACACTGCTCGGGAACGGACGGGATTCCATGCTCGATTATCAAACAGGCATCCGACCTTCTCATATTGCCTTTTCACTTATTCTCGATTAGTATTTCGAGTATATTTGTAAGGTAAACATGGGAGACGTCAGTCTTCCTTCCTGTCTTCAAGTCCGGATCTCGGTCAAATGTCAATAACTATCGTAACGTGTACAGAACTCCGTTTCTAGCAAAACGTCTTGAAAGGATAATTTTCAATATGATTCTTGATTTGTGAATATCTAATCGGTTTCCCGGTTCTAAGCAGCATGGAGTTTTACCTGAACGATCCTGCGAAACTTGCCACATAGCCTCTTGTAATCGAATCACTTCTATTCATAATTAATAGCTGTCAGTAGTAGTTATCTACTTTGTTCTTAGTAAAGCCTTCGACAAGGTGCCACACAGACGTCTGTCGGGAAAATTGGAAGCTCTCGGCACCCGGCCTCCTCTACTCGACTTCACCAGGTCCTACCTGTCTAGCCGTTCTCAAGAAGTCATGGTTGGTATTGGCTACTGAACACCTCACTCGATCACGAGTGGCGTACTTCAAGGCACGGTTCTGGATCCGCTGCTCTTCCGCTTTTCATCAATGATATTTCAAAAGGAATCACAAATTCGTAAACTGTTATTTATGCCGATGACCTCAATTGTTTTTACTCATATTCTAAGGACACTGCAAAGGTTTAGAGTAAAAAAATTAATGCAGATTTACTGCGCTTGTGAAAATGGAGTTCAAGATGGCAGATGGAGTTCTCATCATCCAAGAGCAATTTCACGTCTTTTGGTCCTGCTAGGTTTCCAGGTCCCATAATTTTTCAGAATAACCCACTCAGAATGCCTCAGCATAAAGGACCCTGGTTTAAGTTATCCAAATAATCTTGCTTTATCATCTCATGCAGATAGAATCTCTGCAAAAGCTGCGCAGATATGTGGGTTCCCATCACATATTTTTCCTCCGGAAATAAAGCATAGATTTTATCAAATGCTTATTGTTCCCGCTCTCGAATATTATCGTCCAATCTTTGATTTAATGAATGCCTGTTACCGTTAAAAGATCGTAAATGTTCAGAGGGTTTTTACCCGGAAACTATCCTCTCAAGTCGCATCAGGTACTTCTTATACTCAGAGATGTCAGCTGGCGAACATTAAGTTTTTGTGGGTTAGAAGACTCAAAGCTGGCCTGTGTTTCCTGTTTCGCATTAACTCTAACTCTAATCTTCCGCACATTGACATTCTTACTTCAAGAGATCGGTCTTATGCCATGCGTAATTCCTCCACGGTGCTTCGACCGCTTCTTTGCTCTACATCCAAACGCTCCCTCTTTTTACATCCAAATATGCCTTCGTTTGAAATGATCTTCTACCAGAACTTAGGTTATTGGTATTCAAGTCGAAATTAGGCGAACACTTTACATCGTAAAGCATAAAGGCGCTATTGAACGTTCCATTCCCGAACACTACTTCTGGATTTTGAAAATGGTCCTTCTGGGATTTAAGGATAAATATTACGTATTTTACTCGTTTACCTGGAAACAGTCACTCGAATTTTTACGACCTCATGTTTTACTAGTTTGCTAAAGCCACTGCCATTACCCCATGAAGCGGTACTTTTCGCGGATTTTAACGTCCTCTCCTCTTTTAAATTCTGAGCGATCTCTTGGCGATTACGCGGATTCTCGGTTTACGCCACCCGCTAGTAGTTTAATTGGTAATTAAAAGAGTATTATGATTGTAGCTCTCTGCGCCCTGACGATCATAGAAGCCCGTAATTTTCCCTCATCCCGTGAACTCCGTGTGAAAAATGACCGACCGCGTTAGATTATCCTGTCTCGTCACCTTGACAATTCTTCCTTGACGTTGGACCTTTCGAAACATTATGTGCTCTCGCCTGCAGGACGTTCCTGTCCCATACACATATTTACCCTCCGTTAAGAGACAGTTTTGTCTCCTTAAAAACCAATGAAATACATTCGTTTTGTCTTTCTCAACCAAATCTGATGGGGGTTTTTCACACCCCACTACCTATGTTATAGACACAAACCGAACAATGCACAGTGTTTGTCCACTCGTCCTAAAATTCGCTCAAAAGTGCACTTTTACTCCTCATGAAATTATCCTGATGGGTGCCAAATAAAACAATTTATGTGAAAAGTGCATTGGCCTTCCAATCTTAACATGGGAGTTTTCGCGGAATAAATTATTTATAAGCATTGCAGAAGGGATATGATGATGGTGTCCAAACTCGACAGAGGACTAAACTGTGCATTTCGGTTAACCGATTTTCTCGGAATGACACAAATGACAAATCTTCGAGGCCCTCAATGCAAACTGCGGACAAAGTGAACCAAATTTGAAATGTGGGTTTACTTCTTTTTCACCAGATGACTGGAGACCGGAACAAACTGCCTAAGTCGGTTGTTCTGACGGATAGCGTTCAGCTATCTAAAAGAAGACATGACGTCAGTTTAACTGATAGCCATCTATTTGCTCAACATGGACAGATATAATGTATCCATATAGCTGTGTAAACATTTGCACGTTTATCCTGAGTATACCTGTAAATGGAATGTTTATAGGACCTACAGTAGTTGGACTAATTCAGGAAATGTTAACCGAAATTCTGAAATGCGTTCCCGTTTCGAAAAGATCACTTAATTAGGGTTTTAAAATTAGTCATTATGCAGCATGATTCTTAAGTAATTCAGTTACTTCGGGATACCGACTTTTGAATGAACTTCTTCCCAGCCTCATGCAAAAATCACACTCTGCAAAAATGGCTATTTAAATAGCATGAGTTTTTCTCCATGATTTTCGATGCCCTCAAAAATTCAATCATACGTTATGTAAAACATGCATAAAATATTCCATCTTTTACCCATCCGGTAGAAAATTACGCCTTCTTAAACTTTTATACTTGAAGAAAGGGTATAATTCAGTTTTCAAAAACTGTACTAATTCCCGAATGATTTTGAGCCCGTTGTGCTGAGGTAACTGGATTATTAAAGAATTATGCTGCACAGCGATTAATTTTGAAACCCTACTGAAGAGATCTTTTCAAAACGGGAACGCATTTCAGAATTTCGGTTAACATTTCATGAATTAGCACACTTACTGTACCTTTCTCCCTTATATATACTGTATCTCCGCAAACATAGTAGACCGGAGTTACTTTTATTCAACGCATATACTTGCGTTGTCTTTAGAATATGATTAAACACACTCAAAGTCGCCAGTAAAAACAAATTTTTGCGAATTTCTGGTTACGGTTGAAATGTCTTCCATGTAAAGAAGGGTGATTAGCGGACCCAGAACCGTGTCTTGAAGTGTGTCAATCGCGATCTAGTGGGACGTCGAATATCAAATACTACCTAAGATTTTCTGGTGGCGGTTGGACAAGTAGGATCCAGTGAAGTCGAGTGATCGGGCATTAAATCGTTGTTGTCTTTCAATTTCCCCCTCTGTAAGCCCAGCGGTTAAACGTAACTACCTTGACTTTGCTAGCTACATCAAGGACTTGTAAATAATTTTACATGCACTCTAGACTGACATACTATTTTCAGAATAATGAGCCAAACTGAAATGAGTAAGAAGAGGTCTTCTCGATTCCCTTCCATTAAAGATCTTTAAATCAAGTGCTACTTCGTCTACTGTCTCGAACTTCCTGAAAAACAGACTTCAAGGGCCACGAAAACAGATTAAAGATCCTCCTATAGGCCGATTATAGGTCTATTTAAGGATCACCGGAATATTTGAAATTGCTTCAAAAGTGAGACTCACGAAATTTAGGCGTCGGGGGCTTTCAGCTGTTAATGATGTAAATCCCTTCAGATCGATTACTCAGGTCTTCCGTCAGAAATCGTCAGCTAAGCCCTATCCAGTCCTCCCGTACTTGCTTAATCGCAGCAATTCATTCATTATACAGAAGTCCCGAAAAGCGGAACTGTTAAATTCATTAGCTAGATCGCAGTTGGTAGCCAGGAATGGAGAAGCGGACGACGACCTTAACCCTAATCCTAACCTTTACGCTAACCTCAACCTTAAACGTTAACCGTTAACCCTAACGACAACCCTAACCCTAACCGAAATCGTAAACGTAACCGTAGACCTTAGACATAGCCGTAACTGAAAAACCTAATCGTAATACTGAAACCTAATCATATGCTCAAACCCTAACCGTAACCCGAAAACATAAGCCTAAAGGCATAACACTAATCCAAAAATCGGAAGCCATTAACCGGCACCCTAATCCTAACCTCCAGCGTAACACGGAAGCCAAATGGGTCAGATGTGATTATGGAGCCCCGCAAAATAGCCCCAGTAAACAAACCCCCCGCCACCTGTAATACGGGTCATGGCTACCAACTGCGATCTAGCCCATTCATTCCTTCCCAATCATTTTACCATTGGAACTGATTAAATCTCTTCAATTCCTCCGTCCCCTGATGCTTTCCTCACCATTGCTTATTTTGCTTCTGCAAGTACCCAGGAACTGATAAGCCAGCTAAATAACTCGCACTCAGTCAGCAGTGACAGCATCCCGAGCCCTCTTATCAAACAGCTAAGAGATTTTCCTCCTCTGCTAACCAAATTATTCTCAGTCTTTCCGAGAATGGTTTCCTTGAAGAGATTTAAAGTATGGGTATTTGCTGGTAGTGAGTGAACAAGCTCAGACCTACCGAAAACGTAGTAATATCTTTAAAGTGTCGAAACAAAAGGGACCGAAATTAGAATGCCAATAAACTTTCGAAAGATTTAAATCTCCAGCGGTTATTTTCAAGTTAAGAGCAAATTCTGAAAATGGTGTAAAGATTCTGCAAATTTGTGCATCACTGCTTGATGGTGAGGGTGGGTTAAGAATACAACCAGGAATAGCCTTGATTTGCGGTTAGAGAATATTAGACATGAAACGGAAAATTATAGATAAAGAAGAGGCGTTCAGATCACACGAAAATCGTTCAGGGCAACGTGTAATATGAAGGAGGCAACCACTAATTACCCGGGTCTGGGAGCAGAAATTAAACTTATCAATGGAAATGAGGAGTCGGGAATCAGAGAGGCATATTAGTTATCCGTAAGGTTATAGGGGACTACGCGAAGCCTACGTAGGACAATGTAAGATTGTGCGAAACAATCAAACAATCTTCCTATAATGTAATATTATCAGGAACAATACGATACCTGATTCAATATTATTTTACTTACTTTGACTGTGACTTGCCACTGAAAATTTCGTGCTGCTGATCCTAATTCATCTTTTTTCAGCTGATAGTCCAGACAACTATGATAAGCCCTCTGAGAGGCACAAACGAACGATACGACAGATTCTGAACAGCTGGACCGAGCACTTCAGAAGCGCCCTCAACAGTCGCACCACAATCACCGACGCTACCACCGCCCGGCTCCTCCAAATAGAAACCAACACCGACCTGGACCTCCAGCCCTCTCTCTGAGAAACCATTCGTGCCGTGCAACAACTGTCCAGTGGAAAGGCACCAGGATCCGATGCGATCCCAGCTGAAATCAACAAGCACGGCGGGCATCAGCTGGTGGCCAAAATCACGGCACTATTTCAGATGCAGGACTGCGGACATGTTCATCGGGCCTTCAAATACGCAGCAATCGTCCATCTGTTTAAGCGTAAAGGGGACCGCAACTCTGAGACAGTCACCAGTCAGCATCGCCAGGAAAATCTTTGTCTGCATTCTCCTCAATCGTCTCAACGACAACCTAGAGCAAGGACTTTTGCCGGAAAGCCAGTGTGGACTCCGGCGACACTGTGCTAGGAGATTCGGAGTCAGCTCTATACTACATTCGTGGATTTAACTGAAACCTCCGACATGGTGAATTGCGAAAGGCTGTAGTGAATCCTGCAAAAGTTCGGCTGTCCCTAGCGATTCACGCACATGGTACTTCAGTTCCACGATGGGGTGGTGGCGAGCGTCACAAACAACGGCACAATTTCCGGAGCATTCGCACTGACCAATGTAGTAAACCGGGGATGCCTTCTCGCACCTACACTCCACATTCTCATGTTCTTTAACATGCTGATGAACGCCTACCATGATGAGCGCTCCAGGATCAGCATCGACCACAGGACCGATGGGCACCTTCTTAACAGCAGGCGACTGAAGGCCCCGACGCATCTTTCTAAAACTACTTTTCCCGATCTGCTCTTCGCTGACGACTGCGCATTTAACAATACGACCGAAGAAGGCGTGCAGTGGAGCCTGGATATCTCCGTCTCCGGCTGCGTCCACTTCGCACAGCCCATCAATGCGGACAGGACAGTGATCATTCATCAGCAGGCATTGACCGCTGGATGTAGTGTCCCTCGCATCCGCGTCTACGGCACCGAACTGAAGCCTGTGGACTACTTCAAATACCTGGGCAGCGCAATGTCTCGCTGCATCAGAATAGACGACGGAGTGGCCCACCGAATCTCCAAAGCCAGCTAAGCCTTCGGCCGGCTGCAGAACCTCGTGTAGAGTAGACATGGCCTTCAAATAATGGCCCAATTGAAGATGTGCAAGGCCGTCGTCCTGACGACAATTCTATACAGAGCGGAGACCTGGACCGTCTACTTCAGTCATGCCAGGAATGTCAACCACTTCTATTTCAGTTGCCTTCGTCAAGTACTAAAGCTGAGATGGAAAGACAGGATTCCCGACGCGGAAGTGCTAGAACGGGCCAGAATCATTAGTGTACACCCCTTGCTGAAGCAACTGCAACTACGTTAGAGAGGTCATCTCGTGCGGATGGGAGATACACGTCTACCGCAAAACCTCTTTTGTGATAAGGTCGCCACCGGTGCTCGCCGATTAAGAGGGCCAAGACAACGCTACAAGGACATATTGACGAGTACTCTTAAGAAATTACATATCAAAATCCAGAGACCTGGGAAGGCCTCCCTCGGAGCAGATCAGCCTGGAGAAGGGAAATGAAGATTGGCGCGGCAATCTACGAAGTATACTGGATAGCCACAGCCAGGGCCAGAAGGGTTACTCACAAGTCTCAGGTGCCTTCGATTCGTGGCGTTGTCACTCAAGTCCATCCAATTGCCCGCGCTACCGACGAATATTTTGCGCGCGGATCGACCTCGACAGTAATCTTCGGGCCCAATGCATCAACCACCCGACGACCACAACTTCAGCCTCCATGACCGCGCCTGCTCCAACCTTCACATCGACCACATCGGCGCCCGCTCCCACCAACGCTGCTTCGGATCCCAGTGCCACCCTGCCTCCACTGCATTTGCTTCAGCTACCGCAACAACGTCGGACACAACCACCTCTTCCACGCCAACGACCATAATGCTTAGGACGCCCTGACAACCACCCACACATTCACCATCACCATTTCCGCCTCCAGTGATGTGAACTCAGCCCATACCCGTCCTTATTGCGATCGCACACTCGCCTCTCACATCGGCCTGATCGGTCACTTGCGAATCCATTGCATAAAAACGAGCTAAGCAGTCCCTGGGGCACCAACCTACACTCACCCCATCCGTCCCTTCTATCCTTACAGCTCCACATATTTACTCAAATCATGGGTCTTTCAGGTCACATGCGTATCCACGAGAAAGGAATTAACCGCGATATCGACACACCTACTTTATTTTGCGTGCCCCAAACTCCAGGCCCAATAAACCCCTCATCGTCCAACGCGCCCAACACCGACAGCTGCACCAGTACTATTACCGCCGCCGTTGCCGCCACCGCCACCAACATTGTAACCGACTCTGACGACCCCGAACTATCCTGCCGCAGGTCTCCGTATATTCGCCTCTCACATTGGCCTGCTTGGTCAATTGCGAATCCATCGTACGGAGACCGGTGAACCAGTGCCTAGAGCACCAGCACACACCAGACGCATTCGCCTCAGCTGCTCGCACTACCCTCGCATCGGCCTGATAGGCCACATGCCCATTCGGGAAGGCCTGCGGTAGACAACTGCCCGCTACACCACGTCACACTTTTTCTCACCAACACCTGCACCGCACAAGAACATCGCCCACCACTGCATAATGCAAACACTCAGTCGACACCTCTCACTTAAGTGGGAAGTGTTCCTTTCGGCTCCCCCTCAATGCGGCTCCTCTGCTGCATGTGAGATCCGAGTCTGAGAATATCATGATGCGCCAAGCGCCGTGGCTTGTAAGGCTGCTGACTGACGTCTTAACTCAGTCCACGAAGTCCATCAAGCTATGTGTTTTCTGTGGAGAGGCGGACTGGTTCACGAGACCCCAGTCTATCGACCAGCGCAACGACGTCCCCACTCCATATTCGGTACTGAGGCATAATCTAGCCAAAGCAATTAACCACTCGGGGAGCGCGCAGGCCGATGGGCCAGATGGCCTACCCATCAGCATTTCAGCATCCAACACGGGTGATGAGATTTCAGCAGTTAACAACTTGCATGAGGGCCATCAGACAATGAGCGCACCAGCGGGCAACAATTCTGGATGAAAGAGTGAGCGGGTAATTAGCATAGATATGCGGTAGCATACCGACGGCGTCCAATAAATACTGCAACTTCCTGTGCACGTCTCTGTTAATGTCTCTGATGATGGGCTCGAGCGAGGATCCGAAACGTCAGGCAAATAAAGCTCTTGTCCCGACGATCGTTCTTATTTCTTACTACCTGTTTCACCGACAGCAGATGTGCTTGTGCTCGCGCTGGGTACACAGTTCAGGAGCATGGCTGCCTAGTCATCCTGCCGTTGTTGGTTAAAATCCGGATGAAGTGTTCGTTGTGGACCAGGGGATGTGGTCGTACGCCTAGGTACGGGTCCGTCCATCCGTGCCAGTCAGCGCGCCCTTCCTCGCCTCCGGTCTTCTTGTCTATGACTTGACACCGAGCCCAGGTGGAGAGGAGCAGGTGCGGTAGGGTGCGGTAGATGCCTCGCAAGTCTAATCTCACTATAAGCTAATTCACGCACAAGTCACCGTGCCTGCCTCACCCTTCTGGGGAGCACACGGGAGGCATCGTCGGGCACGACGGTCGGACTGTCACTGTGGTAACGTAGTGGCCTTTCACTATACCCTCGTCTTTAGGGTGCCGTCGGTCTTGCGGTTGACCAGAACATCCCGCAGTACATCCTAAACGAATTGCAGTAGGAAAACCACCACACCACCGTGCTCATCACCCATAAATACTGTGAGGTGACAATAAGGCGTCTCATCATGGGAATCAGGGCCCCTCTGTCACTGGACGAAACGGCGAATATCATCTACCGTGTCCAGTGCAGTTCTTGTGAGGCGAACTACGTTAGAGCGACCGGTAGCTGATTGCAGACCCATATGAGTGAGGACGGAAGGGCAGTGAGAAGAATGGACCAGTTCTCGCCGATGGCAGAACACCGTGCGGCTTCTGGACGCACTTTCCCCTTCCAGAACGCCGAAATTCTAGGCCGAGGTATCGAACAGACAGCCAGGGGAACGCTCGAAACCTGCCCGTCATACCAACTTCCATCAACTGCTGCAAAATCCTCCCGGCAACTTACTAGGCCTTATGAATGCGGTTTAATCAACGGACTCGCAGGCAAGAAGTCAGGAACACAGACAAGCGTGAACACAGTTCGCGCATGAACACCGATAATGGGGGTCGCCAGCCCGATAAGAAAGGAGACACCAGCAACGGCTCAGCAACCACCGACGAAACGCTCATGAGCAGGCGCAAACGGGGGACGAGAACCAGATATGCGGATCTAAGACAACAAATGCGGACAATGCAGGCGAGGTCAAAAACCTTTGCCATCCCGACACCGGTTCTCGAGGAGGAGAGGGAGAAAAGCACTGGGCAGTATGGCAGCGATCAACTTCCCTCCCTCCCCCCCAATGCATCGCGTAGGAACAACACTACGCCAGCGTGGAACGCGCATTTTCGCTCGAATTGACAATGTTTTTGGGCGCGAAGCGTTAAAGTTAGCCCTTCTTGGGTCTTCAACGTACGCGCAAATCGAATGCCTCCACAGATGCGTTGACAACCGTGGGCTATCGAAGAGCTTGTCCTGAAAGATGCCGGTAAAACAGAGATAGCGGAGCAATGGGTGATGCAAAATGGCAGGCGAATGACCCGTATACATATTCACCGCTGTTCTTTGAGGCTGCAGACATACCACAGAGGCCTGAGAAAACGGTGCAACACTGGTGGGGCGAGTGCCTTCATTCAGGCAAAATAAGCCCGAAACATTACTGTGTCAATCTACCCGCATTCTCTGTCGTCTCTTCTCGCTGCTATTATGACTTGGCCGACTTCAACCTGGTAATTGGTTGCATGTTCGTGACGTTTGCCACACGTGCGGAGCTTGTTTGCTTCGTGAAGCCAATAGATCGGTGTGCGCCTATTCCTGATTGAATGAATACGCGATCTGCAGAGACAGAGAATGACAGGTGGCGAGGCACTGATGAACTTCGGTTCGATTAAATGCCTTTGACTTATCTGGTAGACCCCAGTGGTGGAACAACTGCGCCAGGTGAGTCTGTGCGCATGTTTGTGTTTCTGGTCCCAGCTGTTTGTCAGGGTTAAGATTGGCTGAATGAAGATAAAATAAGCCCAAAACAGTACTGGCAGTCTGGAAGGCGAATGTGTGTCCAGAGCTTGCACGGTGTTCTGCCACCAGGGACAATCTGTCCATCCTCCTTACGGCAAACTCTGGACACGCATTCGCCTTCCAGAATGCCGATATCCTGGGCCGAGGAAATGGTCGCGTGACCAGGGAAACAATTGAGGCCTGGCACACAGGCACGAACTTCGTCAACCGCTGTGGAGCGCTTCCCGAAGCCTACCAGGACCTCCGGACGCAGCTCAGAGAACAGAGGAGCAAACGCGGGTTACGAGGAGAAAGGAACCCAATTACGGCCGGGTCCATGGGGGACACAAACGCAGCTGCACTTCATCTTGGATCTGGCGAAGGTTCGATCATCACCACAGCCGCGGCACACACTTATCCGGCAGGTGAGAAAACGGACGGTCCCAGTAACATAAACGGACCCGACGAAGGTGTCAGCGTCACTGCCGCTTATCCGGCAGGTGAGAATACAGGTCGTCGCGGGGTCGTAAAGAAGATTGCCAGCCCAGAACGAGAACTAAGGTGCATGCGAAGACGTGCGATGACGGCTAGCGCCGAACGCCGGCCCCAGACGAGAGGTAAACCCGTTGCAAGGAGACCAGTACCACCTATAAATACTGTGAGGCGTGGTGCAAAACTCACCTCTGACGATGAAAGCTTGTGTGCTTTTGAAACGTCAGGGCAACACAAATATGGTTCCCGAGATCGTCTATTCTTCCCATTTATGTCCGGGACGCGCATCTTCGCTTCTATCATGTATATATGACAGAGAATGACAGGTGGCGAGGCACTGATGAACTTAGGTTTTATGAAGTGCTTATGACCCATCTGGTAGGCCTCAGTGGTGGACCGACTGCGCCAGGTGCGTCTGTGTGCATGTTTGTGTTTCTGGTTCCAGCTGCTGGTCAGGGTTATGATTGGCTAAATGAAGGCACAATAAGCCCGAAACAGTACTGTGTCAGTCTACCCGCATCCTCTATCGTGCCTCCTCGTTGTTATATACATATTGGAATATAAGCATCCAAAACTATATGTTAATGCCAAGGGCGTTCTTTAGGAAAAGGGACTTATTAGGGCAAATTTTCAGCTTCGGTTCCCCAGGTCATCGTTAGACGCAGACAGAGTGCAAATGCGCCAGCAACAATTAACACGTGGAGTGCACTTGAAAATCGCTAATTGTCTGGCATCTACGCCCGTGAGCGAACACCATCTGTCATTCTGTTGTGACTGCTTCTCGTCTCTTCCATTTCTTCTTGAGACTTTTGTACGCGGCATCCAACTCGATATGACGGTTGATGCATGGATTACGAGAAACCCTTGGATTTTCTTCAACGGGCAGGCGCTGACTATGCGAGTTCTGTCCCGAGCGAAGGTGTGCCGGTGCCTTCGGAATGCATGGTTTCGCCTCTTTACTGCCAGTTGGCGCCTTTGTACATGTGTTGAGGTGGATTTCTCTGTTTGATCACAATAAACTGTATGACAGACTTCAGTCCCATGTTTGCTTCACAATTATAATTTTTGCTTACATTTGCGGTCTCGGTCAGTCGGAAATAATTAGACTGGTGTAAGAGTCCAACAGTAAGCAACTTATATGAAAGAGATTTAGTATGTCCTCATGCACGCCAACGTGTTTGTCATGGATATTACTTGAAATAAATTTTCAGGCTACTTCTGCGGCTGGAATTGTCACCTTTGTCCCACATGTCCTGTTTTTGCCGTCTGCGTGTGCTCCAGACAGAAGCTCCATGATAAAGCGGAGTTGCCCATATTCAGAATATTCTGGTGAACGTCGCTAACTAATGCAATTTAACCTGGAAATATATTCACTTTTTTCGGCAAATTCTGTAAATCCTCTGGCTGACTGACTGGAAGCATCGCTATCCAAATAAAAGTGCAGATGCGGCAGCTAGTGGTTCTGTCTCCGAAAAGTTGCTTTCATTTATGTGCATATATTAGTCTTTCTGGACAACCATACACTTTGACCATATGCAAAAGGATACGCATACAGCGGTCTTTTTTGATTTGCTCGAGATTGCGATCTGATAGACATCTCAAGCTAAAGTAGACGCGTCATATAAAAGCCAGCACCAACCTACGTACATGGATTAATGTTGCAACTTTTTGATCAGTGACAGGAATTTCTGAAAAAGACTTAAATGAACTTAAAGCTCACGTTCTCCCGGTTTTCTCTGACATTCTGATAAGTTCGCTTTGTAGCATCAGTGTGCCAATGTAAATCCGTCTCATTAATTCCCAATGTTTAAACAAACTCGGTTAATTTTTCAGAAATACTTGCCCAAAATAACTCCTTGTGAACAAACGCCAATTAAATTTTGACGTGTCTAAGGTTGCTCCTTAAGCATTTAAAATATTTTATCTTTACTACTTCAATTTTTGGCATTTATCTTATGCGGCCGATCAGCCTGCTCACATTCCTGAATCCATATCATATAAATTTCGCCCGAGCTAGCCCTTTTCGGCACTTTACTTGATTGAGGGCAAACCAATGTATCGTCCGTCATTACATGTGAATTTCTACAGACAGTTCCTTCAGGACCACAAATTTGGGTGATCTTGGTCGTTGAGTGTGATCTCTGCAGTATATTCATCTGCAGAATCATCTGAAATCAGCTTCAATTATGGTGTTTCTAACTTCTGACTTATAGTATGCAACGTACTCATTTTCAGTCGCGCTTAGCAGATCCATTTTTTTGCTTTCTTGCCCAACTTGAATCTTATTGAAGGATGTGCTCTGAAGTGAACTCTCGCCAAGAACGCAGCTTATTAGATGCCTGGATTTAAAGAATTCCGTGCACATCTCGTTGTACATAGAAATGCCATCTCAAACTATAAGTTTAGGAATTAGGTAGCTAATTTCCCCATCCATTGTATGACTAGTCAACTTTATGTCATGCTGCTAACATTTTACTAATTATTAGTTCGCGTGAAAAATGTTTGAAAGTAATTAGACTGGCAAATCGAGAACGATAATTTGAATAAGGAATCACAACATTTTAACAGGAAGCAGGAATTCGCAGTTAGCGCTGTGAAGCTTTTCTGGTTTTATGAACACCCGTGTGATCCAATTAGATGTTTGATAGTTAATTAAGGGAGCAAAAACAATCCTTTTGAGGAAGATAAAAGTAACAGATGAATGATTAAAATAAAACAACAGTAATATTGGAAAATAAATTAAGGTGACAGTTTGCCGGCGTTTGCTGCCATAATGTTTCAGTAATGAGGACTGCAATTACGTCCGATAAGCCGGGCTAATGTTAAAGGCTCACCTACATGATCACAGCCTAGCAACTCGGAGACTGGACCAAAACTTGTAACTTACAAATCATACTGGAGAAACTGGCCACACTTTTGGTATTCAGGCTGCGATTATCATAGACCAAGTTGTCTCAAGAAAGAACAAAGAACACTTGAGAGGTGATATTTAGATGTCATATCCACCAAAAGATATCTAGACTTTGCTGCAGAATATAAAAGTGTACGACACCCCGTACAAGAGGAGCAGGAAAACATAGTCAAACCAAACTCAGGAAAACCGGGCAGACATGACCCTCTGATGAAATCACCCAAAGGGAAGGCAATTTTAAATATCTTCCATCAGGGTGACAACGCAAGTAGCCATCCAGTCTTTTAAACATCTACCAAAAGAATAAGGTAGCGAAGAAGAGCAAAACGTCGATTAGTCCAAGGCCAACTAGCCTAGGCAGTCACTTGAAATTCGGATAGACTTTCGATATTAGACGTTCTGACAATGGACAGCTTGACCAATTTCAGCAACACAACAACTTTGTTCTGGTGGACAACTTCTCTTTGTCAGATTATCATTTCGTAAATCTCGCCTTTGCAAACTTGATAAAATAAACTCAACTTGCAGACGAAAAAAGGAATATTGACCATCAGCATAATCGGCAGATGTGCTCCTACGTGTTGATTAACTAGAGTAAACAATTAAGATTTGAGATGAGTGTGACTGGTTTGCGTCCTGACGGCGTGATTTTCATAGACCTACGTCGTTTCAACAAGAGCCTTTCCTGCTTATTCGTTAAATAAGCTTAAATAACAGCAAAGCCTTATATTGGTTTTACGTTCGGGAAAGAATTAGGGTACTGATTGTTGGTTATGCTTTAGCGATCAAGTCACTCTTAAGTTGAACATATAAAAATGCGAAGCACAAAGCTTACTTGAATTGTGCAAAAAGTTTAACTTGTTGTCATTATCTCGTTTGTGAATAATACACGGTGTACTGTCTTGCCAACCCAATAAAGTCAGCAACAGAATTGAAGGAAGTAGAGAAACATGTCCAGATGAAACCATGAGGCTTTTGATTAAAAAATCATGCGTGCACGCATGCTTAGGATATTTGAATAACAGGTTATCATGTTCAAGAGTTTAGGAAAGGTATATATACTCATGCGCTTCCAGGGTTTGAATATCCTTTTCCAGCTGCTTCATTTCGTTCTCCAGTCTTTCTTTACGTTGCATCTTCGGTATAGTATCGATGACAACGGACAGCTGTAAGTATTGATGGTGCAAATGTGCCCAACGAGTTTTTAGTTGTTCGATGATAGCCTCCTTTTCTTCATTAGGGACTTGGAGAAGCTGATTCCTCCTACGCATTTCCTCCGCATACATTTCCATAAGGTGCTCGGATTGTTGCAACTCTTTCTTACGTTCAAGTAAATAGCCCGGAACGTTCCCAAATTCCTAGAAAAGACTGTTATGCACATGAACTGCATACCTCGTTGAGGATTAAATCTTTGGTTAATCCGGCTTTTCTTAAAGGAAATTTATCACCAGTGCATTTATCCACAAATGCAGGTGGGTGCAACCGCGGAATAGAGCTTATGGCCTCCATTTTGTTATCTTTAACAAAGTATTTATCGGCCCGTTTGGAAGAATTCTTGCATATGTGCAAAGGCACCGGTGGCCGCTTCACACAAAGCACACACTTTTTATCCTCATTGGGGTCTGTGTTTGGAGGTTTACGGACGTTACGAGCCTCCCTGCTTTTCAAAAACGTCTTGGGATCATCAAGCTCATGTGTGGATGGCGGACCCATTGTCTTTGACTTAGCTTTGTGAGATGAATTTTCAGCCATAACTTGATTTTTAAACTTGGATATATATCTCAAAACATGCGTTGAGTGAAATAACGTACCTTTTTTCTTTCACAATTTTCGTAGGCGGCTCAGGAAGCAGGTTGTAGATGCACTCGTTCATGTTTCTTTTCAAAAGTTCGTGGGGTCGTTGTAAAGGTACTGTCAGCTTAATTGAAATAGTATAACAAGATCCAAGCAAATAATGAGTCCAGGACTCGCACGTGTCCTACCGATCTCCTGCCAAATTCGCGTAAATACGTAGCTCAAAAAGTGCTGGCACGCTCATCAGGAATGTGGGAAGGGACATTTTGGTTTGGGTAGCTAACAGCCCTCGGCTGTTATATGAGTAGGCAAATTCGTACCAAGACTCGTACCACAGAAGAGAGTTCAGTTCAGTTTATAAAAAGCAAAACACCTGTGCCTTTGTCTACTTTATTTGCAATGTACCACTGGATGCAGAATACAGAGAGACCATGAGTGCCGAAATAGTTCAAATAGACCCGTGGCTGTAGGCCTCAAAGGTCAGATTCAGTCTCTCATTGCTCTTGTTCATTTTAAAACGCATATCTTCCAGAGTTCCTCCTAAAGTTTTTTATTAATTGTGACATCGCAATATCTACGTAGAGGGCATTCCATGGTTTGACCACCTAGTCAGTAAAGAACTTGCGCATATCGGGCCTTGCATGCTGGGCGCGTGTTTTTAACGGATGACCTCGAGGGTTTACCATGAAGGAAAACTCAAAAAATCCCTAAATTTCTGACTGAAATCCTACCCTCTCACTAAACGAAATGTTTGTAATCGACTTTCGCGCATTTGCCTACAACTCATTGGAAAGATTTTCAGACATGTTAGGCGGGTTGTATGTTGAATGGAGCTCTGACCCCCAAATATTATCGTGGGTATCTTTTGGGCTATTTAAAAATTAACTTTATCTTAAGCCACCAGGGTCTCAAGGCTTCACCTGCGGCCTCGCGAGTGTTCCAAACATCTTGGAGAAGTAGTCTTCGTTAAAATCCATGAATGCTCTCCTAACGGCGTGCAACATGGACATTACGCTTATGCTTTTCTGAACCAATGAGCGGGTGACTTTAAAAAGTTTATAGTTAGTACGCGAGGTTCAGTTGGATTTTCACGCCTTGAAAAGCCTTGCCTTCGCGAAAGCATTTTTTGTGCTGGGAGATCTGACTGGGTTTCCCAGACGAAGTATGGTACAATTACCTACAATGAATTGCTTGAGCCAGCGGTCTGACCACTCCTCCAAGCGATATAGGTTAATCTACAGTTTATCTTCATTGGTGGGGCCCGGATTTTAGTCTATATTTCTATGTCGTTAACAAATATTGATGTTTTTTAGTCCAGAGCACTCGTGCTATCCTTTACGTATATGAGGAACAAAATGGGTGCCAGTACTGGAAACTGGGGAATACCACACTGGACCACAGAAGGATCTGGTTTCTTTTAACCAATTCACACAACCTGCTGCCGGCACGCAAGGAATTTTTGGTCTCCTTGAGGGGTACATCTGATCCCTATTCTGTCTAATTGTACTATAGTCTCTGGTGTGGAACAGCATCGAAGGCCTTTTGGAAGTGAAAGAAGGTAAAGTGAAGTGAATGCCTGCCCTGCTCGTGTATGGAGAGATTAATGCAAATATTTCGTACAGGATCACTCTTCCCGGAACCAGTGCTGACAGTTGGATAGCAAGCTATGGACTTCTAGGGATCTAGGATCCAGCTCTTCATGAGAATGGAAGACGAAGAAGGCAGGTGTGAAACACGGACCGGAATAGGTCGAGGATAAAAACAATATCCGAGAAAATGGGACAAAGGCGAAGGAGGACTGTTAAAATAGTAGAGAGTGAAAACAGAAATAAAGAATGCAAAAGCTCAAGAAGAGTAACTGCTGTTGTTTCTAACAATGGCATCAACAATGTTATACTGCCTAAGAGGTGTGTAGTATGTGCCAATTTTATCAGAGTAAAAAATTAAGGCTGTGAGTTCTAAGAATGGTCTTTCTTAACTGCGTATCATTCAATATCAATGTGGGCCGCTTTAACCTGAGCAAGGAATTGGGAAATTTTCCAAAAATGACTGCATGTAACATGCCCGATCATTTCTTCAGGTTACACGTTTCAGGGCTTAGTGACTTAACCAGAAATTATGGCCCTTACCATTATTGCCTCATTTACTATCAGCTGAAATGACATGTTCCTCACATGCGTGAAATGCATATTTTCTGACATATGACGCTGTACTAGTCATGTCACTGGCCGCGAAATGGATAAAATATCTACTACCCGAAGAGCGTATGATTGTTGCGGAATCTGGCGCAGGCTTTGGGCGAAATTAATCTGTGGTCCAGGAATTTTTGAGTTTGCGCAGGTAGGGCAAAATAGGATAATGTGGCCTGTAGTTTGGTGTTATTGGAAACTTGGTGCATATTCTTGAATAGGCCAAATCGAGGACAGGGTGTTCTTGGACCACATGAGCAGGTGAGATGGTTTCGACGGCTGCATATTGCCGCTTCTGTCACTCGTACGTTAGTCACAGTTCAGTGGACCCGCAAGTGGCCCAACAGACCAATGCGCGGTGCAAATGCGCTGTGATAGTAAGTCTAGGGATAGATTGTGGCTGATTAGCTAATTGAATGTCGATGCCACTACTGTTAACGGCGCTGATGATGGAGTTGGAAGTGCTGAAGGGAAAGCTGTTCGAAGGTGTGGTAGGTGGGACTTTCAGAAAGAAATTGTGGTTGGTTCTTTTATCGTAGACACGCGTGTGGACGATAAGACCCATGAGTTGTCTGAATATTCTGGGTGGTGATTAGCCACGCATGGTTAGTGTATATCGGGACACAAGACACTGGCTTGGTGGCCTCTGTGTGCGGCATTCGTAAATGGCCGGTCAGGAAAATGAATGATGAGCGACTACGGCTGAAAGAGGGAGAGCCTGGAAGTAGGTCCATATTGCTGGTTGCTGACGGTGGCAATATTTTGCTGGACTGTAGGTGTGTCCTCACTGATGTTGTCACTGGTAGCAACAGTAGTAGTGTGTTGTGGGATGAGAGACATGTTATTCGGGTAGGCATCGCACTGGATCCGTAAATATTCAACGATGCCGATCCTTGCCCACAATGTTCGATGATATTGTGGAAACTGCGGCCGTGTTTGAATACTATGTTGTTGGTCCGCAGTACTTCAGTGTTGCGGGTCTCTGTCTTTGCTTTGGCAAGAACTATCTGGTTAGCTTCTTTATTGCAGTGCGCCACGCTTCTCAATCTTCAAAGAAATATTTCCAGATCTCCGGGTTCATATGCAGGTGCTCAGGCGAGATCTTTAAGATGTTTTGGTGACGGCGCCCTTGCCTGCCTTTTTCGTGACCACAGTCCATGTTTTTTTGTCAACTCGGATCGGCCACTTGGCACGCGGATATAGGGAGAGACCTTGGTTGACGCATTGAACCTCAAAAATTCTGAATGAAACGAACAGGTCATGTAAACTCTCACTGTCGTTCGGATATCCAGGTGGTATAGATATAGGGTCGAAACACTGGTGACGGAGCCGGTTTTAATAGGACGATGAAGAAAAATTCCCCACCATTCGGACTACTGACTCAATAGCGGCCCGAACGCGTGACTGAGCTGTACTGACAGCAGTTATTTCAACCCACAATAATATGTTGACAATCATGCTCTTCTGCGTGCAAAAACTTTGAGCGGCAAACAAGGAGCAGTGAATTGCTGCCCAGTGTGGAAAGTTCTCAAAGACTGCGTTCCGGCCACGCCTTAGATCTGCCCCCGAGGGATGCGACAGCGATCAATTTATAAGAAGATAATAGGTATATGTTGAAAACAACAATTTTATTATTTGGCTGCAGTTGAAATGAGGTCGTGAAATGCACAGGAGCAAGGGACTTAGCCTATACGGAAACTAGAACTGTTCTTAGAGGATGCATTGACCAATGGTGAAGTCAGCGTTTGGGTTGAGAATTTCGAGTCATGCTTGAGAGCAAGAGTCTGTGATCGCAGCTTCTTCTGAGATTTCTGCAAGCAGGTTCGAGGGTCTTGTGTGCGAGTGACATTGCATAACATAAGCTAGTGAACAACACGGGCGTCCACTGTCAGCCACCTACCCCCCTAACTGCCTTTCCGCCCCTTCCCCATACCACTGGCAAAATAAAATTGTAATTAACCCCTGATGTCAGGCGTGCCTGAAAGCTCGAAAATCGCTTCCCAATGACCACGGTTCATTGTCTGTTTCAGTGTTGCCCACAGGCCTTAGGAAACAGAATCGAGGACGTACTTTTGTCGAATCGGACTTCCTCCATAGTTAAATACATTTTAAACCAATAAAAGTATTGCAAAGTTACGCCGGTATAGACCGACTGGACTTAAGTCCATATGTTATGAATTTGGTGTCCATGAATCTGCTTAAGAGCCTCCCCGCAAACATTTTGGCTCCTACATCTCTGTTTAATTCTTTGGCGATGAATGATTCGGTTGTAAATAGAAGCGAAAAGACGACTCCCAGGAAGTACTCTTGAAGGAGGAGACACAAATCGCTGGGACAAGAGCTTTAATTAATAAACCTACATCGAATCCACCCCGTTCCCGCGCCTGGCCACTCAGGTCTGACCTTGCAGTTAGGTCAAATAGACTAGATGATAGTTCAGGGAGATCTTTACCTGTTCCTATCCCGAATTCTCAACTTAACGTAAACACCCCAGTTCTGAAGCCCTCTTAGACACCAGCCTGCAAAATGAAACTATAAAGCATTGCTGATAACTTTTCCAATTCCATTGCTAGTCTGACACCCCAAATAATGAAGCCCTTTCCTGATGTAAACTGTTTCTGAAAACCATTACGTACGCTATCTAACATAAACTACCCCTCATATTATGCTAACAATTCCCGAAATCCTATTTTCATGCTTCCTATTTTTCCACCCCAACAAAGTAGCTTTCCTCTTCCTGGGTCCTCCTCAAATGTTTTTCCACATAAT